TCTTATATTTATCGTTAAATTCAATCGCTTTAGTTAAACGACTCTCTCACTATATATTTCAATCGAGCACACAATTTTCGTACACTATCTCTTTAAAACCGTACAATATCCAATTGATTACATGATTGACAGGAGTCACAGGACATACAATTAAACTAATTGTATCTATTCACTATGTAGTGTATAAGTGTTTACGTGAACAAAATATAAATATGCGATCTACAGTTTCTCACATAGGGTCCCCAGGCCTAGGCACTCGTAATGAGTGAGCTGGTGAGGGAAAGGGACAAATTTACATTCTTAGGTTTGAATATGCCCGTCAAGGGTAAGTATGGTAAACACGGAGAACAATATATATATATACTATTTGCATTATCAAGGTTTCCGATAGGTTATTTAAAAATTAAAGGAGACTTACCTATAGTCGAAGTTTTATTGTAGTTCTATCGGGATTTGTGTGACTTCCTAGTTTCTGAACCATGACTCATAGAACTACAATCAAACTTCGACTTTAGGTAAGTCTCGTTTAATTTTTAAATTCTATTTCGTCATTGTCTACGTCACTAGGAAATCACGTGGCATGAGCCACAACCATAATGTAACAGAATGCGTCATTTAATCATCATAGTATATTTACATGTACTAAGTCTGACTAATAACCATGACAAGATTTGCTCCAAAGATGCTACTCGGTGTGATTGGTTTACAATCATGTTTTTTCATTTGTCCACGCATCCGCATTAATGTCAGTATTGATGCCTGCTTTCTTTATATAACGCTCTTTAGCCAGCGTGCAATAGTATCACAGGAAACGGGATGGTGAGGTTGTGCTGAATCCCCTCGTATAGGTTCGGTCCATAGGCGTCAATCGAACGTTAATGGAGCGGGACCATATTCGTATATTCTGTTATGCCAGGCTTATTTCTATTGAAAGTGAAGTTGTTTTCAAAAAAATATGATACGGTCCCCCTCGATTAACATTCGATTGACGCCAATGGTTTGGTCAATTGCAAATAGTGTTTTAAACTTTTAAGAATACACAGGCTTGGGTCGCTAGGATAAGCCAGAAACGCCTGGCGTCCCCAGTGTTTGCCAGGTTTAGACGTTTTTAAAAGTTGATCCACATAGAAGATATATATTTATTTTCTTCACGATCCATGCTTATACATCAATTAAGTCATCTTCTTTCAAGCGACATACTGCACTCCATCAGTGTCTCCATGATATCGTTAGCCGTAAGATTTTTTAAAAGTTATCGGGTCGCCAACGTAACTATAAGAATCATGCTACTAAATTTGGAAGGCCGAGCGTAGTATAGTAACACTATGATTATAGTAACAGCATTGGTACTACTATAACACTATAATTTGCTATCACACTTCTTATCGTGAATTTGCTCTACCTGTTGCTTGTTCTTTCGTCGCAATGTTTGGTTGGAATTTAAACTTATAATCAGTCGAGTTTTCTTCTTCTTCATCTTTTACGAAAAGCAATGTTTATTCCTTCCAGTGCCACTGCATAAAGATCGAATGATATCACACTCGTCAAAAATTAGCACAAAAATATTTACCCTGAAGCGGGTCTATTATTTACCAGTGCGAATATGTTTGTTTTTATCTATTTAAGAAATCCACAACATGACCAAACAGCCTGCATGGTCCAATATATAACAAGGAAATTGACATTTGCTTTGGAATGATCATGACTGTCTTGATTTTCATCATCGCATGTGGTAACTTTAATTACTAGATACCGCATATAGAATTCTCTTACACTTGTGAACAGCGGTATGCCAAGCCAAGGGATGGTTAATTTATAGGTTAAACCGTTTTATTTCCTTTCACCGCAACCAGTGATACAGTCAACCAGTGACGAGAAAAGATTGATGGATACGCCATATTTTAAAAGCTGTTTTATAAAATCAAATTTTGAGGGATCTCGAGTTATTTTCTGGTATAACTCGTATATGAAAATATGTACAGATAACAAAACCAGTAAATCTATCTTTGTATAAACTTAATGCGAATTTGTAATTAACTTAACCATTTGTAATGGGAAGGCTTGTAGCTACACTTATATAACATACGAACTTCTTGGCAAATTTGTAACTAAATGTATCTTTGCAAAGGAAATTAATATGAGTAAATCCATATGGAAATTGAACTGCCTTTCCCGTTCTGGAATGCAGAGTTCTTGAATACCAGTAATCTGTGTATACTGAAATACAACAGGACCGGTCTGACCGTTTTTACGGAAAATGCAATAGATCTATAGCAAGATATATACGACGTCAAAGCCTGGGTATATATATATATATATATATATATATATATATATATATATATATATATATATATATATATATATATATATATATATATATATATATATATATATATATATATATATATATATACAGTAGGGGGCAAAAGTTTGAGTCCAGTCGTTGTAGAATTCCAGTATTAAATCCTGGCAGCGTATTCGAGTTAAGACATGCGTGCTAATGTTTCTGTACTGTAAACTATATTAATTGCACACTGTTTTGGCCTAATGATCTAAATTATCAGAAAATAAAGTTCTCATTCCTTTACACTGCCCAAGATGGGTGGGAAAAAGGGCAAAGTGATGGTGCACAAGGACAAATAGTTGCATTAAGTATTGAAGGATTCTTTCCTCGTAAGATCGCAGAAAAAGTGAGAATTTCAAAAGGTGGTATGCAACTAACCTTGGAGAAATTCGAAGAAACTAAATCCTACTCAAGCAAACTTTTAGCTGCTTTGGTCATGCTGGGTTTGGCAATATTGAAAGATGTAATAGAATCCTGATTAAAGGAAAGTATTATCAAATTCTTCAAGGACATGGAATTTCATCTGGCACAAAGATGATCGCGCGTCTAAATACATGATAATCACCCTAAACACATGCACATCTCCTATGTGCCAGAAATCTTTTAGAAGCAAACTCGTTCTGGTGATCTCATTCTCATGGCATTTTACCTCAAATTCCAGATCTAAAACCTATGGAGCATGTGTAAAACCATTTTAAACGGAAAAGGGCGAGGCACAGACCCACCAGCCAGGATGACTTGAGGCAAGTGCATGGTCGACGAATGCTGGCAAGGTATTGAACGTGTGACATTAAAAAACCTATGGAATCTATGCCAGCAAGAATAAAGGCCGTTTCAAGAGCAAAAAAGAGGGATACTAAGCATTGACATGTAATGCATTTTTGCATATTAACATACGTTAAATGTGTATCATAACATCCCATAGTTGTTGTGCAGCATGTATTTTTCAGTTCACTTATTTACTTTTTTCTAGTTCACTTTTCAGTAAGGTTTTCTGCAGAAAATTAATATATGCTGCTAAAACAATGAAATACAGTCACTGGACTCAAACTTTTGCCTCCTACTGTATATATATAATGATCTGGTTACTTCTTTGGAAGAGATCTCGCCTTTTTCTTTTTGCATTGTTTACCATAATGGAAACGCCCTTATGGCCTTATAGTAGCGAAATAAGTAAATAAATGTAATGCTTACAATGTCGTAGTCTCCTAACCATTTCACCATATAGGCTTTATTTGTATTGTTTCATAAAGACTCGTTATTAGCTAATACTTCTCGTCTTGTTTAATAGGGACCTTACGATTGCATGACGGCAACGGGAACGTCTAAGGACTGGAACGGGAGCACGGACGGCGTTGCCGTCTCCCGCCAAAATTTAACCTTACGTTTTTGTGGGTAGCCGCTGCGCATGCGCGGCTAACCACTATGTAGTTGAAAAGTGTCTGTGCGTGCGTGTGTTTGTCCGTCCATCTTCGGCCATCGTCGGACGTACGAAAGATTACGAACATACTCGCTCGCGCGTTCTTCGGTGCTTTCGGAAAACTTCGTGAATTGTCTATTGTCGTTTGAGCTGCGAAGGTATTTGCAAATCTGTTCTTCGTTCGAAGGTTTTGGCAAATTTTGAGGCCAAGGTAAGATATTTTTTACGATATTTGTTTATTTTGATCGCTAATTTATCCATTGTTCCATTGTGCTCGAGAAATTTCGATCACAAACGTACTCATATATACTAAATACGCGAATTGATCTTTTCAGACTTTTCGCACGAGGCAAACTTGCCTGCACTGACTTTTGGTCAGGCGCCCTACGTGTCAGAGGTGCACGTATCGAAAAATCAAATAAACCGGAGCCATTGTTGCTCGCACTGGTCGTCATAGATCAGGTATCATTTACGTGAAAGGCCACGTACCAAAATTAGACCTTGCCATTGTGCAGGTATTGAAATTAGACCTTGCCATTGTGCAGGTATTGAAATTAGACCTTGCCATTGTGCAGGTATTGAAATTAGACCTTGCCATTGTGCAGGTATTGAAATTAGACCTTGCCATTGTGCAGGTATTGACATTGAGCCTTGCCATTGTGCGGGTATATAAAGTGATAGTCATTGTGCTGTTACATTCAAACAAAAACCTTCCATCTTGCAGGTAAATTTACAGCCGAATATAAGACAGCTATTGTTTTGTTATTGAAGTCAACATTTGAAACAATATGGGCGTTACTATTCAAGTTTATCGCTCCAGAATTGGCTCACATCACAATTTTACAGACAGTCGCAGCAGGCTGTGCCGCCTAAATGGCAAACATTGGAATCAAATACTATTAATGTTCTACTTTAATGTATTCTACTTGCCTTTTTTGAAAAGTCAATTAAATAAAAGGCAAAAGAACAGTGAATTGTACATGTGGTATGTTCAAATGATATACTATCATAAATGTATTTATTAGTATAATAAAAGAAGTTAATATCGAAGAGTTGGCCCTCGCATGGGTTCATAGTCGGGTGTTTGACACGGGGGTATTTTCCCCGGGCCTTAGTATTTATATGGCTTGCCTTGTTGTTTATTTGCTTATTATCGCTTCGTTCGCTGTGATGCAACGTACTTCTCGTCGTAATACGATCAATAGCCTCTCAAGCCTTCCTTTGGACGACGTTATGTCGCTACACGGTTTATCCGATGCTGTTTCTCCTCCTCAAACAACTGCTGAGCCAGTTCAAGCTTCTGTGGCCATCTCTGTTGCTTCGCCTCAGCTAGTGGCGTCCACGTTCGCTTCGTCCGCGTATTATCGGCCTCGCCAGTTTTGTCCTTCCAGCCAGCTCACAGCTCCATTGTTTCCTCCTCGGTTGGGTTCTACAGTGTCCGTCCCTGGCCTTGTTTCGTCGCCGTCCCAACAATTATATCTCCCTCAACAGGGTCAATTTTCTGCCGTCTCAATTCGTCCACCATCCGGAGCTCCAACCGTTTCTTCAATGCCTGTCGCTGCTACTCCCTCTTCTGAGTTCACCCACAGTCAATTGCCATCCTTCGCCGGCGTTCAACAGCCTGTTTTTTCCGAATTGGTTCCTCCTTTGCCATCTCAGACGCTGCAATCAGGTACGCCATCTTTGTTTACTTCGCGCCTCATCCCAGGCCCCAGTCACGTTCTCCCAGGGCCCATTCCCCGTGCTACCTGGAATCCCCTCCAGGACTCTGGGTCAATTCCTACCACCGCCGTCGTCTACCCTCCCATGGTTGTAGGGCCTGGATTCCCGCCTGTTTCTTCAAAATTGGTCAGTGCGATTGTTTCGGGGACTTTTGTGGAACTTTCTTCGCTACTCGAGGATTTTTCCGAGCTTGACGCCCCTTCGTTCACCTTGCTCTCTGACCAATTAATCCTTAAACCTACCAAGCCGCGTAAGGAAATTAAGGATATTTTGACCTGGATGCAAGCTTTTACCGTTTTTTGTATTGTGCTTATCTCCTATTGGCCCGCGCGCTCCATCGACTTGCAAAAATATAAACTGCTAATCATGCGCATGGCTCAACAGTTTCCGGCTTCCGCCTGGTTGTCGTACGATCGCGCTTTCCGTCGCCAAGCGGCAGCCTACAAGCTAATCGATTGGTCCCACATGGACGTCGAATTATTTCAATTTTACGTTTCGGGTTCTCTGGCTTCCGTTTCCTCCGCTCCTGGTTTTTCTGGCTCTAGTGCATCTGCCACCTCGTCCGCCTCGTCTAAGCCCTCTCGCTACGTCTTGGGGGAGGCAGTTGGTACTCCTTCCGCGGAAATCGTCTGCCATTCCTGGAATGCTGGTCACTGTTCTTCACAGTTTCAGCGGTGCCGTTTTCGTCACTCGTGTGATTATCCGGGGTGCTCCAGTATTCATCGTCGCTCGCTCGTACATGGTACATCTCGCCGCGCACCTGAACGTGAACCGCCGGCCAAGCGCCCTAGATCGCTTGTAGACTAATGTCTTATTGTCGAGTGTTAATAAATATATTTAGTTCCCCTTCCTTGTGTTTGTTTTTCTAGCTTACTCCTAGTGTTAGCTTTCGGATCGCCTTTTTCTAGGGTTCGTCGTTCCTCACCTTTTTTCTGTTCTGCCCCCTGTTAATCGGGTCACGCCTCTCCGCCTCGAGTCCTTTCGGCAGGAATTGGCTCGTCACCCTGACCTCGCTCGTGTCAACTACGTCTTGGATGGTATTGAGAATGGTTTTTCATCTGGATTCCTCCCGTCCATGGTCGCTCTGCGCTCCTCTGGTCGTAATATGAGGTCGGCCGACGAGCATCCCGAAGTTATCGATGCCTATCTCGCTACCGAAGTTGCTAAAGGACGTGTTGCTGGCCCGTTTGCAACCTCACCCTTTCCTTACCTTCATTGTAGTCCTTTTGGAGTCATCCCCAAAAAAGGTCAACCGGGAAAATGGCGGCTAATCCTCGACCTGTCTTCGCCGGATCTACACAGTGTCAACGACGGCGTTCCCAGGGACCCGTTTTCGCTTCATTACATATCTGTCGATGACGCCGTCAAAATTCTCGTGCAGCTTGGCCCTGGAGCCCTCATGGCCAAATTCGATGTCGAGTCCGCGTACCGCAACATTGCCATGCGTCCCGACGAGCGTTATCTGTTTGGCATACGTTGGCGAGATAATTTCTTTGTTGACCTTGCTCTGCCGTTTGGTCTTCGTTCTGCTCCCTTTATTTTTAACTCGGTCGCCGACTTAGTGGAGTGGATCCTGAAGTTCAACTATTCCATCCGATATCTACTGCACTACCTTGACGATTTCCTGATCTTGGCTCCGACGAGCTCGTCCGAGTGTGCCCAAAGCGTTGCTGTCGCTAGAGAAGTTTTCTCCCGGTTGGGTCTCCCGCTTCACCCCTCGAAATGCGAAGGCCCGTCTACCACGTTAACCTTCCTTGGTATTGAGCTCGACTCCGTCTCGCAGATGGCTCGTTTACCTCAGCAAAAGTTCGTGGCAATTCTGCGTCTTCTTAACGAGTGGGCTATCAAGAGATGGTGTACGCGTAAGGAACTCGAATCCTTGGTTGGTTCTCTTCATCACGTCACCAAAGTCGTTCCCCCCGGTCGTTCGTTTCTTCGCCGCATGATCAACCTTCTTTGTGCGTTTCGGTCACCGTCCCATCCTATTCGTCTCAATGTCGAGTTTCGTCGCGACCTGGCCTGGTGGTTGGAGTTCCTACAGTCCTGGAATGGCGTCAGTTTCTTCCGGTTGCCATCCGTCTGCGCTTTCCCCGACCTGTTCGTCGCTTCGGACTCAGCCGGTGCCACTGGTTTTGGGGCTATTTGGAGAAATGCTTGGTTTTCGGGCGTGTGGCCTGCTTCGGTTCCTGTTACCAACATAACTGCTTTGGAACTTTTTCCTATAGTCGTGGCTGCCCACGTTTGGGGTTTTCACTGGCAGCGTCTTCAGGTCCAGTTCTTGTGTGACAACGATGCTGTGGTTGCGGTTATCAATTCGGGGTCGTCCAAGGATCCGTTAACAATGCATCTGCTACGCCGCCTTGTCTTAGTCGCCTGCCTGTTCCATTTCTCCATTTCGGCCCGTCACGTACCTGGTCGTCATAACGCTGCTGCTGATTCGCTTTCTCGATCTCGTTTGCAGGAATTCCATCATTTCCATCCAACGGCGGACTCGGACCCTACTCCCATCCCCTCAGCGTTGGTGACCGATCTGCTCAACGTGAGCTAGAGTTGCAATGTTTTGGTTTTTCGCGTGGTTTGGCCGTTTCCTCTCGTCGTACGTATGCCTCGGGTATGAAGAAGTTTTGGTCCTTTTGCGCCTCGTTTCCTCGTTTGTTTCCTTCGTCCTGTGTGCCAGCTTCACAGTTTCAACTGATGATGTTCGTATCGTGGTTGGCCCAGTCCCTCGCTCCTTCCACCATCAACGTCTACTTGGCTGCCGTACGGTCCTTTCACATAGATTGGGGTTTCGGCGATCCCACCGAAAATACGCCTCGTCTTCGTCGGGTTTTACAAGGCATTCAACACTCATATCGGATGTCGAAACCTCCTCGTCTTCCTGTTACTCGGGAAATCCTTGCTGCCATTCATCACACCGTTTTCACCTGCGAGAGTGGTTTGGATGCTTTCATGTTCTGGTCGGCGTGTTCCTTGGCCTTTTTTGGTTTTTTACGCGTTAGCGAGTTCACCTCTACTGTGCCGTTTGACCCCTCCTGTCACTTGTCCCCGCTCGACGTTGTTTTCCTTCCTGGCAATCCTTGCCCGGGTGTTCGTGTCCTTATCAAGCGTTCAAAGACAGACCGTTTCGGTGTTGGTTGTTTTATCTTCATCGGCGCGTCTGGGAATGTCCTGTGTCCGGTCGCGGCTCTTCATAACTATCTGTCTCTACGGCGTCTTGCCGCTGGTCCCTTATTCCTGTGGAGTGATGGTTCTCCTCTCCTGGCTGCTCACGTAAATACCTACCTTCGTGATTTTATCTCGGTCTGGCATCTCTGGTCAATTTTCCTCCCACAGTTTTCGAATTGGTGCAACGTCCGCTGCTGCCGCCGGAGTTCCTGATCACCTGATTCAAACCTTGGGACGTTGGTCTAGTTCGGCTTATCGTCGTTACATTCGTACTGCTCCGGATTCGTTCTTAGCTGTTGCTCCGCTGCTGTAGGGTTGGAGACACTTTGGAGGGGTTACTAAACGGTAACCTTCTCCAACCCGAGTGGGTCTGGAGTCACCTTGGAGAGGGTACCGTTTAGGTTCCATATCTGATGGACGTACGCATGATTGAAAATGACAGTAAAGACTACGCATCGCCAACCTCGTTCGCTTCGCCGAGCTCGTTCGCTTCGCCGTGCTGCCGTCTCCATCCCTACCGATCCGCAGCGGGCATAACTAGTTAGGTTACTATAGTTATAGTATTCGCTACGCCTCGCCTAGCCTCGTTGGGCCTTGTCTGAGTATATTAAATGTATTTATTAGTATAATAAAAGAAGTTAATATCGAAGAGTTGGCCCTCGCATGGGTTCATAGTCGGGTGTTTGGCACGGGGGTATTTTCCCCGGGCCTTAGTATTTATATGGCTTGCCTTGTTGTTTATTTGCTTATTATCGCTTCGTTCGCCCCGCCTTCCTCCCCTGACATTCCACCCTTGGGGGGATGGTTTCCATTTATTGTTTTAGTTTAGTTTCTCTAGGTTCAGTTGGTTTGCAAAGATTCCTACGGTATGTATCGTATTATTACTATGTGTGCATCGTGTGTGTTCTTGTTTTCCTTCCACGGCTTTCACTTCTGTGATTCCGTGTGACAGTGTGATCACGGGATGGAGAGGGTACCGTTTAGGTTCCATATCTGATGGACGTACGCATGATTGAAAATGACAGTAAAGACTACGCATCGCCAACCTCGTTCGCTTCGCCGAGCTCGTTCGCTTCGCCGTGCTGCCGTCTCCATCCCTACCGATCCGCAGCGGGCATAACTAGTTAGGTTACTATAGTTATAGTATTCGCTACGCCTCGCCTAGCCTCGTTGGGCCTTATCTGAGTATATTAATGTGTATGTGCCATTGTTACTAAGGCTGTCAAATGATGTGGAGGAAAATCCAGGCCCTAGGACTATAAATGATATAGTTGATGCTGTCTGTACAGTACATGCTGATTTTAATCAGGGTAATGAATTGATTTTTGGTACAAATGCTGGTAAACAGTGTGTGGCTATGTCATTGTATGCAATTGTTTACAGAGAAATTAAGTCGGTGAATATTTGGGATCAGTCAATTCTAAACACAATTTTAATAAGTGGAAATAGTTTGTATGGTGTTATCAGCCAAAGTGTAAATAAAAGTTATTTATTGTTAACTGATGTCCCTGAGTTTGTGAATATAGATAATCATACTTTTAATTTGCAATACAGTGATTCCTTTTCAGGAGCATTATATTTAAGTGAGAATAGTCCCCCATATGTGACTCTTGAGCATGCCTTGAATGAAGTATTTTATTCTCTAAACTTTAAAAGCTGTTTGCTTACAATTGGTATGAATAGTGTTGCAATTATGATGCCCTTTCCTGATGTATTTAAAGTGTTTGATTCACACTCAAGAGATTTATGTGGAAGACCATCAGCATTGGGTTACAGTGTTTTAATATCTGTAGAAGGAATAGAGAATCTTAGACAGTATTTTCAATTAATTTCAAGATCCAGAGAAGAAAATATTGTGTTGCCATTTGAGTTAAAGGGTGTAAAATGCATTAATTGTAATATGATACAATTGTATACAAAAGATGTTACAAATTCAGATATGACTGATTCTACTGAGCTATTTGAACAAGAAAGTCAAACTAAACCTGCAAAAATAAGAGCTTATAGTAATTTAGGACGACAGAATGAGACCATTCAACAAAAAGAAGCCATACTTGCACAAAATAATAATGCTAAAAATGCAAAAAGACAACATGAAACTAGTCAACAAATGGAAGCTAGACTTACAATAGAGAATAATGCTAAAAAAGCAAGAAGGCAAAATGAAACTGCTCAGCAAAGGAAAGCTAGACTTACAAAAGTATGTAATGCCACTAAAACAAGAAGACAAAGTGAGACCACTCAGCAAAGAGAGGCTAGACTTGAGAAAAAGAAAAATTCTGAAAAAGCAAGAAGACAAAATGAGACTGATCAGCAAAGGCAAGCTAGACATCATGCCACTAAAACAAGAAGAAAAAATGAGACAACTCAACAAAGGGAGGCTAGACTTGAGAAAAAGAAGAATGCTGAAAAAGCAAGAAGACAAAATGAGACTGCTGATCAAAGGCAAGCTAGACTTACTAAAGATAAAGAAAGGAGAAAATCTAGAAAAAATACCAGCTCTGTAAAGCATAAGAATAAAGGTAATGGTTTGCATTCAGATGGAATTTTTAATTCAAATGTGACAAATTGTCACAATGATACACTGGAACTAGTTGCAAAGTTTCATAACTCTGTATATCTTTAGGACCTCTGTATGTTTGCACTTGCTGTGACCAATTATGGTATAAACATTCTGTTTCTCCTGCAGACAGACTGAGAACTTTTAATCCTGATATAACAAAGTATCTACAAAATATAAAAAGTGTTGATAATATTGAATGGATTTGTCAAACTTGTAACAACCACTTAAAGAGAAGGAAAGTTCCTCCTTGTGCAATTGCTAATGGCATGCAATTTCCAGAAAAACCATCTTTCTTTGATCTAAATGAACTGGAATGTAGACTTATTGCTCCTCGGTTAGCATTTCAAAAGATTTTTCAGGCCCCAAGAGGTGGCCAACTCAAGATTACTGGTAATGTTGTTAATGTTCCAGCAGATATTAGCAGCACAGTGAATGTGCTGCCTAGATTATCAAATGAGATAGGTACTATTAAAGTTCAGCTTAAGCGAAGATTACAATACAAAAGTTCTGCACTTTCAATGAATATAAGACCTCACAAAGTAATGCAAGCTATTACATGGTTAATTAGCACAAGTCCTTTGTATCAAAATCAAGAAATCACTATCAACACAAATTGGTTAAGAAGTGTGCAAGAGTCATTGGATGAGATCTCTTGTAGTAATGAAACATCAAATGATGCAGATGATTTAATAACAAACAATGCAGAAGATGAATGGAGTGAAGATGAAGCTGAGATACCAGCTGGAGTAACTGATAGTATGTTGACTCCTCCAGACTTTGTCAGTGATAGTGAAAGACAAGAAATCTATAATGTTGCTCCTGGTGAAGGTAACCGACCATTGAGTATTTTTAGAGATCAGTACTCTGAAGAAATGGCATATCAAGGAATATTTCTTGGTCAAAAAAGACTAGATGATAAACAAAGGCTAAGAAGCGTTTACTATAGTGAAATATGTAAATCTGAATTAAGAAGATCAGATCGTCGAGCGGCCATGTGTGTTGAAAATATCTTCTTTAAAGCTAAGAAATTGCAGATGAAATTTTTGATTGGTCAGGCACAGATTGCTCTCCGAAAAAACAAAATAGGTAACAGAACTCTAACTGTTGGAGACCTAAAAAGTGCAGAAGGTTTACAAAGTTTAATAAACCATGATGATGGTTTCAGATTTCTAAAAACACTCAGGGGCTCAACACCCTATTTTGAACGAGCGAAAAAGGACTTATTTGCTATGATTCGTCAATTAGGACCAGCATCATTATTTTGCAGTTTTTCATCAGCAGAAACAAAATGGAATCATTTATTAAGAATTCTTGGTAAACTGATTGATCACAAGGAATATAGTGATGAAGAATTGAACAATCTTACCTGGGAAGAAAGGAGTCGACTAATCCAAAGTGACCCAGTAACCTGTGCAAGACATTTTGATTTTCAGTTTAATACCTTCTTAAAAGATGTCTTAATGAGTGAACTTGCTCCATTAGGAAAACTTAAAGATTGGTTTTATAGAGTAGAATACCAACAGCGAGGATCACCTCATATTCATATGTTAATATGGCTTGAAAATGCACCTGTGTTTGGTGTTGATAAAGATGAAGATGTTGTTGCTTATATTGATAGCATAATTACCTGTAGTAAACCGGAAGATGATACGGAATTACTTGATCTTGTGAATAGACAGACACACAGACATTCTCATACTTGCAGGAAAAAGTCCAAAAATATTTGTAGATTCAACTATCCACAACCACCAATGAGATGTACTCAGATTCTTTACCCACTCGATGAAGATATCTCTTCAACTGTTGCTAAATCCAGCAAA